AAAAGATAGAAAGAAAAATATTAAAAAAAAATAAAAAAGAAAAAAAAAAAAAAAAAATAAAATAAATAAAGAAAAAAACATTGAAGACAATTGATATGCTTGTTACAGAAAAAAAAAAACTCTTTTGGTATAGTTTAAGTAGTTAAATAAGCAGTCTATTTCTAACTAAGATAGTATGGCAGGTTGCTTTTAGGTATTATTAGAGTGGTCAAGTGATGTTAAACTTATATATTAGAAAATTCTATATAATTATATATATATATAGTTTCAAAAATCTTAATAAAGTATTAGCATAACTGTTTAAGATTAAAAAAAATATTTTAGATTTCTAAAAGAGTTAGACATATTCAATCTTTTTCAGAAACTTAAACAGAATTTACATCTCCAACTGAGCCTTAAACTAGAACTAAGTCTTAGAATAAAATTAAACCTTAGACTAGAACTAAGCCTCAGGCTAAGACTAAGCCTTAAATTAGAACTTTATCTTAGTTGAGAGCTGAGTCTTAGGCTAAAGACTTATTAGAATTACAAAAAATTAAAGATTTACAAGAAAGATCTTTAAAAAATTAAATTTTTATATTTTATATTTTATATTTTTTTATTTTTATTTAATATTTTTTATTTTTTATTTTTTATCTTTTTATATTATATTTTATATTTTTTTGTTGTATTTTTATATTTTTATTTTTTATATTTTTAATAAATATAATCAGTTTTATTTGTAATTATAACTTTAAATTTTTATAATTAAATATAATATAAATAACTGAATATATTTGTATAATTTTGATTTATTTAAATGTTTTTTGAATATATTTACAAGTTTTTGAATTATTTTAAGATATTTTAAATAATTTTGAATTATTTCAAAATATTTTAAAGTATTTCTAAATATTTTGATTTTTTTTTTAATATTAAGATGATCTTTTTGATTTTTTGACTTTTATTAACAAGTTTTTGGTAATGTGATTCAATAAACTATTACAAAAAAGTATACAATTGGCTACACATATAACTTTTCTATATTAACTATTTAAAAAGTCTGTTTGAAGGTTCTCTACTAATTGCTGTACCTAATACTTCTATTTGGATGTATCATTTTAAACCTTTTGAATCTGTAACCTATATTAACTCATTAGGTTATTCTTAGATGTCCAAAGTATCATTTTAATCTTAGAACTAATTTATTCTTAAAGTAAACTCCCCAGAACCTTTTGTACCTATTTTTACAACTAACCTAGATATTTTAATTATATTTATTATTTTTTATATTTTTAAATTACCTTAAAATAATTTAATCTCTTGTAAACAATTAACTATATTTGAAATATTTTTTTAATTATATGCATACTTGCATTATTTATTGTTTTATAAATAATACTTTAATTTTTAATATAAGTTTTTTTAAAATTGAACAACTCTTTCTGATAATCACTTAAACCAAATTAGTACCAAAACAGTTTAAAGAGTTATGTTTTTAAATAGATGATATCTTTGATTCTGTTTTAATATATAAAGCAGATTGTTATTAACCAACTAGAAGTACATGAAAAACTGAGATATAGGTGACTCTTTTGGTAATTTGTATTGAGGTCAAACTTTTTTGCAGATAGACTTCTCAATATGCTTAGCATCCAAACCAAAAGAACATTCTGAAAACAATAGTAAAAAACTCTAGTTAAAAGTTATCAAAAGCTTAAAAACAGAACAAACAGCTAGAAACACTCTTTTTAGTTTAACTTTTTGAATATTATACTTATCAACTTCTTTTATCTATTTTATTTTTTCATCCAAAAATAAAAAATTTGCCTTCTCTTCTACAAAAGATTAGCATTATTTACTACTTTCTTTTTTAGACAGTTACATGTTGTAACATAATATAATAGGAATACAACAATCATGTATATGACCTAATATATAGTGTAATAAAAAAATAAAGAAGAATCTAAGTTGAAGGATTATAGCAAATTAGAGATATATAGTAATTCCTAAAATTATATATATATAATTTTATTTCTTTAGTACAGGTTAAAGTGTAGTTAGATCTTTAGTACAGATTTAAAGTATTAGTGACCTTACTAGAATAGTTATGAATAAGATGTGCTCTCTGATACTTTATTTTTTCTTTTTTTTTTTACAATCCTTTTTAGTTTAGTTTAGTTTAGTTTTTTTTTTTTTTTTTTATATTTTTATGAGAAAGTGTTATCAGTTTGGTAATACTCTATTGTAGAGTAGTGGTCAGAAATAATCTTTTAGGTGGTACTTGTTACTGCCTGATATAGTAGATTGCTCTTAGACACTCTTAGAAGCAGCCAGAAGAGTTGGATCTTTGAAATTAAGTGTGTAATATTACAGTAGTATTATTATTTTTTTAATAAAAGTATACCAGTATGATTACCTAAGTGAAATATATATATATAAGTTTTTATGCAATTAATTATTTAATACAAATATTTTAATTAATAATAAAGAAGTTATAATATAATAAATAATTTAGCTAATTTATAGTTTAACAATAGTATTTTATTAAATTAATAAGTAGCAAATAATGCAAAAGAATTTTAAATATAAAAAAAATAACAAGTATTATTCAAGACTTTATTGACTTTTTAAGATTTTAGGATGTGACAACTTAGTGAAGTGGTTAGGTTGTCAACCCCCAAGTGGCAAGTCCAGAGTTCAAATCCTAGCATCGACAGAAAATTTGAAAATCCTCTTTGTATTACAGTTAACTGTCTCTTGCAATTGGTTAAGATAAGACACCTGTAATCTATATCGCACCAGCATGACTGGCAGGTCACATGGCATTTGTGTAACAGTTACATGACATTGTCCTTTGGAACAAGGTCTGTGGTTATACAAAGAAATGCAAACCAGTATCAGGTGGTGCAAACCTACAATAAGTCCTCATAGCTATATAAATTATAGAAACTAATAAAAGAAAGATGGAAGCCTACTTGGAAGACCTGAGTAGAGAGGTAAATCAAGTTTTTAACAGTGCTACTGTAAAGACTAGACTTATAAAACAAAGCTAGAACTTGTGAAACTGAGCAAATATGCTAGTCTTTAAGAAGGGACTGAATGAACCAACCAGGTTGCCGAAATTTTCAGGTTCTAAAGGAAAAAAGTACATGCCAGCAAACATGTAAACCAGAAGTATATAGTTTTGACCTACCTTTCTGGGCTATCTGAAATGGCAGCTTGGTAGAACTTGAGTTGAATACCAAAGTAGTAAGGATATGTTGTGAAGTTAGTACTAGAGTTGGAGTAAACTTTACAAGAACATAATAGTTTAATGGTAAACTCTAATCGCTAGTATTGGTCTTGATCATAGTGATACTGGGTCAGCTATAAAAATGGGATACAGAAGATTCTGGAAGGTTTAGTACAAGGTCAAAGGTTCTAAAGAACTGCTTTAAAGACTTAGTGGCTATGGCATATTTTTACCAGCATTGATCGGAGTTATTGATAAACAGAGATAGGTAGATGGATACAGAAACAGAGTGGTTAAATAGAAAACCTACAAGTGGGTTCCAGATATGCTAACTAGTATAAAACCTTTGGGCAGACTACTTAAATTAGACAATAACTAAAGTTGTATAAGTAGCTAGTTGTATATTCTCTTTATAGTTGCCCTCTGTGGTTGTAAAGCAATCGTTAGCCAAATATACTATTAATAAAATTCTGGGTCACAAATACTCACCTTAATATTTAAAAAAAAAAAAAAACTCATATTATAATAATTACTAATTAGTGTTAATAACCATCAAAAAACTCTGTTAATGTCTGCTTATTTGATATTCTTATAATACTATAAAGGAAAGTTTCTTTAATTCATATAATAATATTGCTAATTAGTATTAGTAGCTATTGAAAAACACTGTTAATACATGTTTAGCATTAGTATGTAGCTATTGAAAAACTATATATTTTAATTTGAATACTATAAAGAAAAGTCTGATTACTAATTAGTGTTAATAGTTATCGAAAAACCTGCATTTTATGCATTTAATCCTCTATAGTCAAAAATAAGATCTAATTTTTGTCTATTTAAAACAATTAGCTTAGTAATAAGTTGATTTATTAGGTTTTGAGAAGTTATTACTATACTTAAACAGATGAGAATTAGATCTTATTTTTGGCTATAGAGCTTTACAGCTCTAATGAAACCTTCTATACAGCTTTTTTTATTTTATTATTAGTTTTTGTTTTTTATAAACTGTATAAATAATATAAAATTAAATTGAATTTATTGCCAATCAGACAAACTTCTGGCTATGGCTATTTAAATTTAATTCTAATTTCATATTTTTATTTGTCTTAATCAATGCTATACTTACATCAAATGAGTCTTCTATAGTTTAATGATCATAGTTGAGCCATGTGACCAATAAACCTTTGAATAATACCAAGTAATAAGTGTTACTACATTTTTTATTTTATTTATTCATTCATTTTTCGTTAATCATTCTCTTCAATCAGGCATTCTTTGATCATCACACCACATACTAATTTTTACCAGTGAACTGATTTTGCCATGATGTTAATTTTCAAGAAATAACTCCATGAATAAAAATCTGACTTTAATCAATCCTAAAATGCTATAACTTCAAACCAGAAAAAGAAAAAATGATTAAATTGTTCTTTATATATTTAACCTTAATAATCACTATATGAGTTCTGTCAAGGGAAAACTCGACTTTGGGTTTTAATCATATTTTGTATCAGACATAGTCTAAATTGTATTTGATATAGAATATAATTAAATGCACAGCACTTATACAATAGCTTATTCATCATGATTTGGATAAGTTCTAGAAGTTAGCCATACAGTGATTGATATTAGTAACGTAATCTGTCAAATTACAGACATACTTACAGCATTATGATATTATGATATTTTTATAAATAGCAATTGTTAAGTACAATCCTAGTTGTACTATAAAAGTTGCAATAATATTTCAACACACTAACTATAAGTTTACCAAGTATAATTAGGCCTAATCAGATCTTTTGATAAAGTCTGAACTTGGCCTGATATTTAACAAGCCTAATTTGTATTTGGTCTGAACAATAGCAGGCTCAAAATTATTGGCCCAAACTGGACCAAAGCCCAGCTCAACCTGGAAATTTTTAGGCTTAGCCCAGCCTGTTCCACATTCTAATACCAGGTATAACACAAGAGGAACATATAAAATTCATCAAATGATCACTAAAAGACAATGAACATGTTAAAGAAATTAAAGAAGTTTTTAAAAAAGGAATCCTGTAGATTGAAGTAGACTTCGACTGTGAATATGACAGAAATAAAGCAATACAAAGAATCAGCAGAAAGGAAAGTAATTAGTATAAATTAATATTAGAAGAAAGAAAAAACAAAAAAGAAAAACAAAAAGTGCACAATAAAAAACATCATGAAAAAAAAACCAATATAACAAAAACTAAAAGAAAAATATATAACAAGGAAAATAATAAGACCAAAGCAGATATATACTACAATAAAATCGATAAGAAGCCTAAAGGCAGTGAATGCTTAACAATATGGAACTTCTCATCAAATATTAAAAAAAACAAGCTAGAATATATCTGTAGAAGATTTAAGAATACTCAAATAGTAAAAATTAAAAGATCAAAATACAAAGCTCTAGCAATAGTGCAACTAGAAGAAACCAGAGAGATAGACATTCCTTGGGCCATACCAGTCAACAATGACAAACTAGTACGAGTAACTAGAGGGAAAGAAAACTATGAAGCAAAAGAAAACCAAAGAAATACACAGCAAAGTTAACAGACTTACTTAGAAGAGCCTTAGAAGTTCTACTGCTATGATGTCTAAGAAGCAAAGAAGAAAGGTCAGTTCACATTTCACCAAACAAAAACAGAAACCAAAGAAGAACAGCAATAATAATGTTTATAACAAAAGAAGAAATGAATGCAGCTCAAACAAAAATGATTTTGTATAACAACTTTCAAATATATTGGATAAACAAAGAAATAAGAATAACAGAAAGAAGAGAAAGCCTTAAAGAAGAGAGAGAAAAAAGTTAGAACAAATGTAGCCAATCCTTAATTAGAGAAAAGAATATGAACAACAAAAAAAGACAAAGAAACAAAACTCTTATAAATAAAAATAGAATTAAAAATAACTCAAGTTGGTGATTCAATCTATCAAAAGAAAAAAGCAACACCCAGAATCAACATAGGTTAAACCAAGTAAAGATATAAATACAAGGGAAAGAATGAAAGAAGACACAAAAAGTAGAACAGAAGATTTCAAAGCACAAAAGCAAGATCAAGAGTCACATATGAAGAAGATCTTAGAACAAATTTAAAAGAGATTAGAAAAACTAAAAGAAGCAAGAGACATAGCTAAAGAAGACCTAGCAAATCACTCTTGAGGGCACTTTAGTTGAAACCACGAATATGAATGAGGAGATTAGAGACTTTCTATACAAGAAAAGAAGAACTTTCAAAAAAAAACAAAAAAGAATCTTCTAATTTAAGAGAAGAAAAGAGAAAAAAAGGCAAAAAAAAAGTAGAAAACATGAAGACAAGATACAAGCAATTAAAAGAAAAATAAAAAGAAGAGAGAAAAGAAATCAAATTAGCCTATCACAATGCTAATAGACTCAAAACCAGAGTCTGAAAATTAGAAATTCTGCTAAACTGAGCAGAAGAAGAAGAAATAGCAATCTTAGAAATAACAAAAACAAACATTACAAAAAAAAAAGAAAAAATGTTGCTGCACAATCTTAATACAAAATTCAAAGGCTACTAGGTTAGTACAATATCAAATAAGAAAAAAGGATCAGATATTGGAATTTTAATAAATGAAATCTGAGAAAAACATGTTGAAGCAGTCAAGAGATTTAATGAATACATGATAGAAGTAAGGCTATACTTCAAACAACTAGAACTAGTAGTAATTGGGGTGTACATTTCACCAAATGATAAATTGATCAGTAAGAAAATTCAGCAGAAAATAGTAGAAATAGTAACAAACAGAAGAAAGAACACTAAAGTGATCATACTTGGAGATTTTAATCATACAGATGACAACATATTAGATAGACAATATTCACAATCGACAAACTACTAGAGGCTGCCAATCTTTAAATGGCTTAAAAGACAGAAGTTTACAGACATATATAGAATCTTGTATTCAACAAAGAAAGCATATACATAGTCCAACCAAGAAGCAGTGACAAGAATTGATTATATCTGATTGTCAAAGCTAATTACAGTAAGCCTTTAAGAAGCCAATATGGAGGAAGCAGAAGATATAACAGACAGCAATCATGAGATACTAACAACAGTTATATAGTTAGAACATATAATAGCAAACTATAGTAATGCAGAAATTAAACATAAAAAACAAATAAGAACAATATATTTGTATGAAGAACCTAAATAAGAAGATTGAGAAGAATATGCAAGAGAACTTCAAATTTAACTAGAGTAGAAAAAAGTGCTAAAGCAGCTAGAAGATAATAAAGCATGTAGCAACTTTAGTGCAAAAGTAATAAACCATATATGGAATGCAATAAAAGAAGCCATAATAGAAGCAGCAAATAAACAAATTCTAAAAAAGAAGATATTTAATACAAGAACAAATAAAAGACAATATCAAAAAAAATTACAGCAATGCAGGCAAGCAATTGAACTACAACAAATAATTAAAAAGGCAAAGCTAAGAAGAAACCAAGAGGCAAAAAAAGAAGAAAAAGAAGAAATAAATATTAGACTCAAAAACATAGGCAAAGAAGTAGGAGCAAAGTTACCAAAGCTATATAAGCAATGGTCAGAAGCCTGGATAGATAACTTAAAAGGCTGGCAAAGAATTCTGAAAGACAAAAGAAGAGAGGAATAAGAATGAAACTAAAGAAAGCAGATAGAAGAAAATATAAATAAAAGATGTGAAATGATCAAACAAATCAAAGATGAATGATAGCTAGTTTATTGAACAAATCATACAAGAAGATAATCCTAGACAGATTTGTAGTTCAAGATGAAGAAAATGTTAAACTAATAAACAGAACCTAAAGCAGTCTTGAGTGGTCTGGCAAACCATTTCAAAAATCAATTCAGAAAACAGGAAACTAAACTAAAAGAAATGTCTAGAAAATGGAAAGAAGTATACAACTCAAAAGGATAGATCAATGAGTTCTGGTACAGTAAACTAGAAGAAAAGATAGAAAAGAAAGAATGAGAAGACACAATAAGAGAACTCAAATTTATCACAGCTTCAGGAATATTGGGCATAAGCTATATACTAATTAAATAAACAGAGAAAAAATTACAAAAGACTTTTAGAGCTTTTGCAAATCTGGTTCTAGAAAAAAAAGAATTATTAATAAAGTGAAAAATCACACAAGTCTATCCAATCCCAAAAGATGAAAACTGGAAGTATAACTTGAACAAAATTAGACCAATAGCACTAATTGAGGCCTTTAGAAAGTTAGTTATGAAGGTGTTAACAAAAAGACTAGCTAATATATTTACGAAAAGAAAAATATTTAAAGGGCCAAACTATGCAGGTCTGCCTGGTAACTCAATAGAGCAACCAATACACATGCTAAATATGATAATAAAAAAAGTACAAGAGAAAAATAAAGAAATATGAATACTTTTACAAGACATGAAAAAGGCTTTTGACTCAGTCCTTCTAAAAAGCTTAGAGTGGACACTAAAAAGAGTCAAGTTATCACAAAAAACAATAAAATATATTATCAATCTTTTTTATAAATGCCAATTTAAGATAATCACAGCTTATAGTTTAACAGAAGGAATAATAGCAGAAGATGGAATAGACTAGGAGAAGGTAATCTCTTCACTAATTTGGTGACTCTTCTATGATTTATTGCTAAAAAGGATTCAAGAAGATAAATCACTAGGCTACATAGTAGAGCAAGAAATATCAAAAAGTATAGTTATTAATTGTATTACAAAACATAGACAAGCAGCAATCACATATGCAAATAATACAATATGAATTGCAAATAGCAAAGAACTACTATTGAAAATTTTCAAAATCACAAAGAAGTTCTTCAAAATCAATGATATTAAAATAAATAAAAACAAGTCAAAGCTTATAGTAATAAATTCGAGACAAAGAAGAGAAGACAGAAAAATTACTTTCAAACAGAGTAGAATAACAGAAGTACTAAAAAACAAAATTGTAAAATTATTAGAAATCTGGCTAAACAGTAAAATAAGAGAGTTACTAGTTTGCAAAAAAGCTAAAGAAATAGTCAGCCAAACAGTCAAAGACCTCAAATACAAAAAAATGACAATAAGCCAAATCATATACATAAATAATACAATAATAATCCCAAAGTTAGACTATCTGTTATAGTTGACAAAGATGTCAAAAAATATGATTGATAAGATCCATCAACCAATAATCTGTCTGGCAAAACATAAGTACAATATAATAAAAACTACAAACAACTATATAATGAAGCACAAGGATTTAGGAAACTGTAAATCACTAAGTCAAGAGATAGTGATAAAGCAAATAAGTAGTTTATTTATGAGACTTAATAGGAAAGATAGCCTAGGTAATTTAACAAGACTCAAAATAGCTTAAGAATGCCAAAAAGCAGGCCTGACAAAAGATATATAAAACACTGAAAGAAGACTAGAAGAATCAAAATTCTAGAGACACAATTTAGCTTGTCAGACAATAGCCAAAGCAAAAGAAATAGAAATAAACATTAAAATAGAAAATTACTTATAGAAAGTATTTGAATATGAGATAAAAATAAAAGATTTAGTCAAAACCAAAACTTGGATAGCAAGCAGTTGTACAATAAATAAATAAGGTTTGTTTTATCTGAATCAGCTCATAGATACAAAAGGTAAGAACCTAATTACATGAAGGCAGCTCAAAAGCTTTCAAAGACTGTCATGCAAAGGAAAGAAAGTCAAATAGTTTAGTAAAATAAAAAGAAAAGTTCTAATAACACAAACATGCAGAAAAATATATGATTAATTTAAAATTAGTGATTTTAATACTCAAGCACTAATGATTAACTGGATGATGATATTAGAAGACAGAAGAAAGAAAAAGTAGATTGTACATGAATCTAAACATGATCAGCACTTTAGCAAAGTATTAAAAAAAAAGGAAAAAAAGTCTTAATAAAGTATTGGTTACTG